CTTATATAAAAAAAATCTTGTCAAAAGTAGTTCTTGGATGTATATAGTGAAAAACAGTGTTTTAAAAATATTTAAATTGAATCAAATGAATATACATATATATGTATACAAAATATAAAGATGATATATATATACTCATAAAATTTTCTTCGTAATTTTTTTGACTTTCTTGATAAAACTAAAGTTCCTCAGAATTGATTAAAGTAATTAACAACAAATTCTAAACTAAATTTCCTCTATTTAAATCATTAGAAACGATAAGAGAATTTAAATTTAGCTTTTCTATAGTTTTCAGAAATATGTAGGTAATAGGCACTCGCAATTCTTAAGTAGTTTGTTAATAGGCTACTTAAATTTTTTGAAATCTTAAGATTTTAGAGCGCTTGGTAAACTTATCAAAAACACTAAAAAGTTTTAACTTGGACACCATTTCTTCACACATTCGTAATTTATTATACATATAAAAGTACACATATTTTAGTTAATTGTACTTAGTTTTTTTTTCTAAATTCATATATATATATATGTTTAGCTATATAATAAAATATATACATAGTACATATTACTAAACCTCGTAGTTTGCATAGGAAATTTCATAACTTCTGTTTAGACTATACGAGTTTATTAATTGTGTTCTATAGTAATTAATATGATAATTAAATTTATTACATTAATTGTTAATGAAATGCTGTTCAAAGTTTAAAAATATAAGAGAACTGCTGTGGTTATACAAAGAAAAATCCAGTTGATATACGTAATTTGTCAAGAGAATATTTGCAATATGCGTACAATATATATATATATATATATATATATATATATATATATATATATACATATATAATATATCATATATAATATACATATATTTATATATATACATTATATATATAATATATTGATATTAAATCATCTATATTATATATATTTATTATTTATTATAATAAATGATATAATATATAATAAATAATATAATTTATATAATAATAATCTAAAATTATTGTATTATATTTGGAATTAATGGGCATAACTATGATATGAATAAAGTACTTAATAAAAGAAAACGAATTTAAAATTTACGAAAATAATTCTAACAAATGATAAGTAAAATTTTCAAAATAATATTATTTAATTAAAGAACATGCATGAGACCTTTTGGGACGGTGGGTGCTATTATTATAGTGAATTAAAATAAAATAAAAAAAATTAAATAAGAAAAAACAAAACGAACAAAAAAGATCAAACGAATGTAAAAGCTATAAAGGATTAGATTAATTAAAAAATGGAAGAATAGATTTTTGTCAAGGAATATTCTTAAGAGTTCAGAGTTGTACACGAATAGAATAGACTGTTCTGATTTTTGTGCCTAAAGAATATTTTCTCGCGAGCAGAGGAGTGTATAGAGTCATTATTCAGTTTTTTATACTTAAACTTAGTTAGCGACTTTTGTGTTTCCGTTGATCAGAGTTTGTCGTTCCTAACGCAGTTTGTAGCTTTTGGCGCTGCATACTCAGCTCGTTCGTGTTATACTCTAACTGCTTAAATAACTACAATTTCTATTTCAATATGCACTTATATGAATTATAAAGATTAATGAACTTACATTTTATCTTATCAGGCGATTTGATTTCCTTTATGACATGCACATGAAAATAAAATAAAATCATAAAAATAAAACAAAAACTTAACGTTAAAAAAATGGCGCCGTTTTTCTTTCAATTTGCACTTCATTTACACTTGTGATTTTGTTTAGCACCAATCGTCATTTGGATAAAGATTTTCATTGTCTCACGCCAGGCAACCACCGTTCGGCATAAAGGCATTCGCAACGCTGATATCTGCATCGACAACAAATTCACCTGCATCGCCCGTAAATTGTTCCAAAAGGTCTGCATCAGTTAGGAAATCGTTTTTAATAGAAATGTGATCGTGGAACGGCACAATGCTACCCATCAACGATGATGTATGGAAGTCTAATAGGCTGTTATTGTTCTGCATGCCAATAATGTTGTTATTTAGATTATGTACGCCATGGTGCATACTGACTGCATGCTTAATATCGACGAAGCTATCGCAATTGTTCTCAAATAAAAATCGTTCAGCTGATTGTGCTGTGGTATAAGGACTTTGGGACTCGACCAATTCATTTTTGACGAACTCCGTAGCTGTGGTGGGTGTAGAGATGACTGCTAGTGGACTTGGCACACCGCTGCTGAGCAGTGCACTACTGTCGCCACCGGTTGGTGTGCCTGTTGGTGTGTGCGTTAGTCCAAGACTGGCTAAACTAAGACTATTATCATTTGGAATGTAATCAGATAATTGATGACTGACAACAACAGCGGTATTTTGCAGGTGGGCGGTGGGTGTCTGCGCATTATGATGATGTGTTTGTAGCGCTGAGGTTAGACAAATACTCTCTTGGGAAGGCGAATTCAAATAGCCAAGTTCTTGTGGAGTAGGCGATGGCTTGCAGTAACCATTCGGCAGTTGTTGTGATGCTGTAAGCGATGTTGGATGTGCGGGTAGTTGATGCAGTTGCTGATTGACTGCAACTGCAGCAGCCTTGAAACCATTGCTGCGCGAACATTTGATAGTTGACATCGGTGGGATGACGGTACGTGCCTGTTGATTTGGTGTAGTCTGATTGTTGCCTGCTTGATGTGCTTGCGTATTGATATTAGAGTTTGCATTAGTAGCACTGCTATTATTTGCTTCTATTTCAAGTTCACCCAAGTATTTCAGTGCTGGTGACTGTAACAGTTTTGAGGGCAAATTGAAACCTTCAAGGCGAACACAATTGGTGGAGTGTGCTTGCAACATTTCCAGTAATTTGCGACGTTCCTTTTCCAGTGTACGTACCTGATTTTTTAGATCAACATTTTGTGTATCCAATTGTTCGGATTCTTTGATAAGATTTTGTGTGCGTTCACGTTTCTTCATGCGACACTTGGTGGCGGCAATCTTATTACGTTCACGGCGGCGACGACGACGATCTTCATCCTCGGGGGTTAGATGATTGGCGGCATTGCTTGATTTATGTTCGCTATCATCATCGCTGGAGTCATCGCAATCTTCATCACGGCGAGAGCATTTTGAGTTGGGCTGTTCGGAACCAGAGCTTGAATCACAAGTAGAAAGCTTACGTTTACTTTGTATAGAAAGTTTAAGACCAGCTTTTATGAGTTGTGAGCAAGTCTGAAAGTGAAAAAACACAAAAAAAAAACAATTATTACATTTCATATATTAAACAGTGTGTGTTGAATTAAAATTTTGTTTTGTTTTTGAGGCTATAAAAAATGTTAAATAACCATTTTTCAGGCAGAAGTGGCAGCTATACAAACAGCGCGACTTCATTAGCGTTTATTTGCATAACCTTGGCGGTAGGAAAAAAAATTATATAAAATAATAAAAGTTGTTAATGACTTTTTCTGAAACTGTAGTATAAAGTGCTTAATTATAAGAATATAAAATAAAGTTCAGTTTGTTAAAATCTTTTTTTGTTTTTGTTTTTGTTTTTTTGACACTAAAGTCAGTCGGCAAGAAAAAGCAATATTATTTCGACACAAAAGCTCAGCAGATTTGTTTGTAATCACAGCCACTACATTTTTTTTTGGTTTATTCTGATCGTGCGACAATTTTGTTCACGACCCTGGACGGGGCTTAAACTTTAAAATTTTGAGTTTTATTTTTTTGGGTTCTAAGTTTTAAGCATTTTAAGTGTAGAGTTTTGCGTTACAAAATCAAAACAAAAAAGTGTCACAGAAACTTCAAACTCGTTCGTCACCAATAACCAAATTTGTAAGCCTGAAATCGAACAAAATGAAAACTACAACGTGAAGAGTTGTTTTGGGTTTCGATTTTAAGTATTTTTGATGCTTTGCCAGATTTCAGTTTATTTTAAAAAATAACCAAAAACAGAAACTTGTTCTAAAAACACACAAAACAAATTCGGAAATTGTTTATTTTTTTATTTCATTTTTTTTTATAATTTGTTATTAAAAGTAATTTATTTCTAATTTAAAAGAACATGGACGACTTTCAGTACGGACTGAAAGTAAGTTTCAAATAATAATTATTTAAAGCAATAAAATGTTTATTGTTGATAATTGCACTGCTTTAATATATTTTTAATTAAGGAACAGATAATTTCAATAGTTGCAATAAAAAGTTTATATTAGTCACTTTAATATTCTATGAACATTAAAGACAAAAAAAAAAGGAAATGCCATAATTATGCCTTTAAGCTTCTTCCTCTAAAGTTTCTTTTTTATTTTTACGAGTATTGCCAATAATTAATAGACAAATGAGTTTTGGTGATTTACAATTTGTCATTAAATATTTTTATATCTGACACGTGTAGTAATTAATCAGATAAAAATTATTGTGTTATATAGGTAATTACTAAAAATATTTAATTTTTTTATTAAGAAAGTAGTAACTTTAGTATTTCTAAAATATTTGAGATTCATAAGACTAAAAAGAAAGCCGTATTTATTTATTTTCGCTTAAAACAAACTGGTACTGCAAAAATACATTTCAATATTGCTCTTGCTAGACAATTGTTTTAAAACCAAAGTTTTTTTTATCATTTTTTATAATAACTAAACTAAGTTTAGCCAGACATCCCTATTACATAAAAAAGCTGCCTAAAAACGTTCAAAAGAGATTTTACTATAGTCATATAAAGTAATCAGAATGAAAAATAGAATGGTTCTTAATAGATAAAAGTAACTAAAAACATTAAACTAATTTCAGAAAATTAAATGTTTATATAAATTTATAATAAAACAATTATAAAAATCTGTAGTACTAATTTGTCTAAGATCAAATCTATAGGAAAAAAAACATTGCAAAAGAACCGAACATTGAATGAAAGACAAATTCGAAAGAAAAGATACACTTGACAAATAAGAAAAATTATAAAACCTTTTCAATGTTGTAAAAATATTTAAATAATAATTAGGTATTGAGTTGGTGGCATATGTAAATGTAAAGAGATTATTAAATCCTCTCAGTACTGCATAATCTTAAAAATCTGTATGTATAAACACAATAACGTCTGATAAAACAACTATAGTGGTAAATTGTCAAACTACTTTATAAATGATAATTTCAATAATTTTCTTCAACTTCTACTTGTTAACTACACATATAAACATATAAATTTTATATAATCACATTTATATAATATTCAGAACTTTAAATAAAGAAGGTTTGCTCACATTGTAACTTTTTTTCAAATGGAAGTCTTTGTCTATAGTTTATTATTAATATACAGCTCTTAAGTTAAGAAATACGAAATAGATTTTATCTGCAGAAATTTAATATAACATATATACATATATTACAATTCATTTTTATATGCTTTATATAAGCATTATTTTATATAATGTAATATTAAATTAAATATTTGGATGTTTAAAATTGAATAATTTTATAAGATTTGTGTGTATTTTGTTATTTGTTTCTCTATCAAGAAAAAAATATTAAAATTATTGTGTTCATATATGTATTAATAATTTCTTGTACAAAATAAAGGAGTCTTCAGTCGTTGAACAAAAATCGTGTGTAGTATAAAAGATCTCATATGCTCTCAACTCATCTTAGGATCCGATGCAAACGTGTTCAATGCGATTCATATTGATAGTAAAAATTGTTTTTACCAATGTAAATTATTGGTTAGTGGAATTTCTACATTTTTGTATAATATCTAGCACTACCTAACACTTTTCCGATATCATGAATCCACCTCACCGTTAACTGTAAGATTGGCCCACTAATAACTAATTTGTTCCACACTTTGATATTATGAGGTAGATATCCCTCAGTTTATTATCTTCTATCACAATAAAGTCTAGTTTATTTACACTCTGTTTCTAAGGTAAAATCGAAATTTTGATAATCCAGAAAATATAGTTCAATTAATTCAATCAACTGCAGTTTGATTGAATAACTCTAATTTATAAAAGTGGAACCATTATTAATGTAATAAATATTAAATTTTATTTCAGTTTTACAATTACTACGATAATAATAAATTCAATACTTGATATAATAATTTTTGCATAATATTATATATATTTGTTATAAATATATTGAATTAAATATTGTGATTACAAATATTTTCTCTTATGAAAGTCCAAAACAAATATGAATTTAATTATTTTAGATAACAGATATTATTTTAGAAATGACTCAGTAGTGAATTACAAAAGTTGATAAATTATATAAAGATACTTTTATTAAGATTTTTGCAAGTCTTCACTTAAATAAAACGGATGGTTGTTGCAACCTTCTACAGTTGTGGTTTTTGCAATGAGCAATTTAAAATTTTAAGAAAATTTTCTGTCTGTCAATCTCTTTAATAAAATTTAAAAAAAAAATACAGAAAATAAATAAATTAAAAGTATTTTTGAAAATGCAACAATAAAGAGCGGCAACTTTGCATATAACTGACGTGACCTAAAAATGTTGCAGGATGCTTGGATTGTGACTTTTAAAAATCCATTCATGTAAACAAAATATTTGCTAAAAGTATGTCAGTGATGACTTACGATGTGTTGACAATTTATAGAAAATAAATGGTGGGATCACTAAAAGGTTGGTTTTGTACAATTCAATGTTCATATTTGTAAAAGTGAAATGAATAAAATTTACAATGCGTTTTTTTTTCTTTTTGAATGGTAATATAAATAGTTTGACCATATTTAAGATTGAAGCGTACAGGAGCGCATAATAAGGATGGTATAGTTAATGTTCTTTAAACAGGATTTAACCTTAGTCACTATCAATTTAATAAAATTTTTTCTAATAAGTGAAAAATATATCTCGTTATATCATATATTTTAAATAGTGAATCGATTTAGCAATTTAGTTATCTTATTAAAGATAACTTCTGAAAATCACTTCTTCTTCTTCTAAAGATAAGAAGAAGAAAGCTAGCTTGTTAAATGCACTTCCCATATTAATTAAGAACATTTTCTTCTAAAGATTACAAGAAGAAAGGAATAACAAGATACAATCTAGAAATAAATTTTATATATTTTATATATCCACTACACATATTAGTTGAGAACTGAGTAATTATTTTTATCCACTTCCCTACAGTCTACTCAAAGAAACTGAAAATTAGAAAAATATCATGTTTAAGATTGACCATATAGAAATTATTTTTATTTATTTATTTATTATAATTATTAACAAAATATAAAACATTATAAGATAAGAAAACACGAGCGCTAGCTACCAGAGCTTCCAGCTCGGATATTATAAAATAAATTTTATTGACTAGATTACAGGCTTTAATATATTTATATATCAAAGGTATACTTTTAACAATAATTGTTTTTAATAAGCTGGTAGGTCAGATGCTTGGAAAGATATTATTACGATTAGAATTAAATGAAGGACAATCGTTAAGTATGTGATCTATGGCTGATAGAAACTAATTTTATATATCTAATATATGCATGTATATTATTATTAATTACTTAATAAGTAGTATATTTTAGGTTTAATCAATTTTAAATTCAAATTTCCCAAACATCCAAATTTCAAATTGTAAACCTAGAGCTACTCTTTTCCATGAATTTCAAAATCTTCGCGATTTCTAGATGAAGTGTAGATCCTTTTAATAGTCTGACTACTTTGTTGAGTACAGTGGGTGTTCAAATATTTTATATAGTTTTTCGTTACGATTCAAAAATTGATTTATTCTACGACAGTGTCAAAATTTTGAATTTAATTCAAATTTGTTTTGAAACTTCAAACCCATAAAAATAATTTATATTTGACAAATTTATTAGTTTTTTTTTCTCCAAAAATATTTAACTCGTTATTATAAATAACATTTTTCATATAAACGACATACAATTTTTAATTCAGTTTGCACGCAAAACCTTAACAAATTATGATAAAAATCTTTAATGGGCTTTGTTCGCCCTAAAAAGCATAACGCATGCGTGGTATTAGCCAGTTTCTTAAATGAAATTCGACCGTTGTAATAAAATATTAATGCTCATAAACCGAAATATCAGTGGAATGAAATGAAATAACAATAAAATAAAACACTTTATGTGCTTCAACGAAAATTTAATAAAACATCTCAGGCAAGGCACTTAATGTGAAGTTTAAAATAAACAAACAAAATTGAAATGAAAAAAGTGGTGAAAAAATCTACTCGTAAATCATATGAA